GCTGGAGGGTCAATGGAAGCAGATGTAAAGGCTATATTTAATAGTTCAACCTGGAAATTACAAACCCGTGAGCTTAACATTTGTGGTTGGGGAGTTTTTTAATGGAGTGTTAAGGAATAATATTCAAGAATTCACTTTGAACCAAAATATCATTAGCAGGAATCAACATGATTTTATGAAAGAAGGGTCCTGCCTACTTAACTTAATTGCACTCTACGTAGAAGTTAGTAGAAATATAAATCAGGGTGTTTCAGTGATCTACTTGGATTTTTCTACGACATTTCATACAGTTCCACACAAAAGGTTTCTAGTAAAACTGAAATAGTTTGAGTTAGGCAAAAAAAAATTTTCCCGGATAGAACACTGCCTTAAAGAAAGAGTGCAGAGGGTAGTTGTAATGGAAGATTTTCAAATTCAATAGAAATTGTAAGTGGAGTGTTAATACAGATAAATGCAAGTCGTGCATTTTGAAATAAGGAACAAGCCACTTATTTATTCAATGGGGTAGACTCCACCGTGAACATGCGCTGTATTTATGGACACTAAAAAAAGTGCAGAGATGAGTTACAAACCTAGTAAGGGGGATGGAAACCATTAGTTATGAGGAAAGGCTAGAAAGACTGGAATTGTTTTGTTTAGAAAAAAAAATATATAGACTATACAAATATGTACAAACCACAATTTAATAAAGGCTTAGATGCTTTTTTGCATATAAGGAATTTTTAACAATAAAACTGATTTGTATGTAGACAGGTTGTTGATTCAATGAGAAATCTGATTGCTATTATGGAAGTTCATCCAGTCATAGCAGTAACAGAGCTGAAAGCATATACATTGTTTTGCAAAGTGATAGTGAAAAGTAGTATAAAAAAGATAAAATAGGCCACTTTTATGTCAGTAAAAGTCATGTAAAAATTAGGGATTATTCTAGCCTCGGTGAGGGAATAATCTAAATTTAATAAGACAGGTGGTGAATATTTGCTTTACCTTCTTTACTAAAAACCTCCAGCAGCAAAGAAATAGTTAACATAACTTTTCAAAACAACCAATCAGAACAAAATAACAGCAGTATGAAACCACTTAGACAGACCCTCCCACTACCTCTTTCTTTGATGAGGTCAAGCAGGGGAGCATTAAGACCAAACAAATCCAACAGTGGAATACGACATGATGAATACACGCACACGGACAACCAAAACCGCAGCACAGAAAATGTATTTATTAATAAAACATGAGACCATACATTACAAAGAACATAACAATATGCCAATTAATAAAATAGCAAAAAACCAAACCAATTCCAGTGCGGGAAACAGTAAGGGGGGGAAATATTTGCCTCATGTCTTTAATAAAATTTAGATTATTCCCTCACCGAGGCTAGAATAATCCCTAATTTTATTGCAAGACAGGAGTTTTCATATTTTTGAACGCCCAGACATAAAGACAGAAGAAACATGAGATCGCGGATGGAAATAAAAAGTACGGAAAGTCGATTCCCCAGAACAATCAGCGGCGCCGGGAATATCTGTAAGGGACCCATCGGCTTCTAGAGCTGCTATAGCTGCAGTGCCCCAAAATGAATGGGCCCCAAAGGAACTTGCCACGCCAGCCGATGAAAGAAGTCATTGAATCCAACGAGCGATTGTAGGTGCAGAAACAGCCCCAAACGGTCGAACGTAGGAAATCAATAGCTGCACCCGGTGGCAGAAGGCCGAAATAACGAAGTCACGGAGATATACATCCGTAGACAATGTACCACACATAGACATGGTCTATGGATATGTGGTAGGGATACGAAACGGACATCCGAAACGTGATGAAAGGACACAAGGAATAACAACAGAGCCAGCTTAGCGGAAAGCTGGCGCAGAGACAAGTCCCCATTATCAGGCCATTCCTCAAGGAAATGCAAAACAAGTGAAACATCGCAAAATGAGGAATAGTGAGAGGAGGGGGTCTCAAAAGAGTCACACCTCGGAGCAGTCTGTAGACCGAGGGGTCCCTAACTACACCAGAATCGGTCCAGGCTACCAGGGAGAGATGATCCTCAATAGATGTGGATTCCCTGCTGGATCCCGCAGGAGAAACTTAGAGAAAGGTAGCAGTAGCGGGTCTTATTCACGATAACTCCAACAGTAGAAGGGACCTCAAAGGAAGTCCAGAATTTAAAAACACTGGAGGGTGAAGTTGCCAGTTGCTGGCATCTCTCCAGTGTCTGGAAAACCAGTCCGCCACGAGATTGTCTTGTCCTGGGAGATATTCCGCCATGAGCGATAACTTCCTGTCCAGACAGTACTGGAAAAGGCCTGTTGCCCATGAAGGCAGTTCTGCTGGTGTCACGGCCCCTGTGCTGACCAGTCCTGGCGGAAAAATGGTCCCTCGAATTGAAGACCCTTCGGAGGGACTGTTGTGCCTTGTTGAAGGAGAAGTAGATGGAGATGTGACGATTCAATTCCTTCATAAAGGCGTCCCCGAACAGGAGGCCCTTGGCATCCAGACCCAACTCTATAGAGGCCAAATCATCTAATTTCCCATCAAGTTTGTAAAGCGCCACCTTGCGACGTTCCGAGTTGAGGGCCACATTGGCATTGGGCCCACTCCCGGAGGAAATAAGCGGCAAACATAAGTTCCCCTGTGCAGGGCGTCATCCACCATAAGGAAGATCTGGGTCAGCAGACCACTGATATCGAAGAGTTTATCCTTGGTGGAGTGCAGACCCTGTTCCTGGCTGTTGTGTGGGTCCTACCCAGAATTTGAAACACTGGAGGGTGAAGTTGCCAGTTGCTGGCATCTCTCCAGTGTCTGGAAAACCAGTCTGCCACGAGATTGTCTTGTCCTGGGAGATATTCCGCCATGAGCGATAACTTCCTGTCCAGACAGTACTGGAAAAGGCCTGTTGCCCATGAAGGCAGTTCTGCTGGTGTCACGGCCCCTGTGCTGACCAGTCCTTGAGGAAAAACGGTCCCTGGAATGGAAGACCCTTCGGAGGGACTGTTGTTCCTTGTTGAGGGACGTTTAGATGGATATGTGACGATTCAATTCCTTCATAAAGGCGTCCCCGAACAGCAGGCCCTTGGCATCCGGACCCAGCTCTATAGAGACCAAATCATCTAATTTCCCATCAAGTTTGTAAAGCACCACCTTGCGACGTTCCGAGTTGAGGGCCACATTGGCATTGAGCCCACTCCCGGAGGAGATAAGCGGCAAACGTAAGTTCCCCTTGCTGGGCGTCATCCATCATAAGGAAGATCTCGGTCAGCGGACCACTGATATCAAAGAGTTTATCCTTGGTGGAGTGCAGACCCTGTTCCTGGCTGTTGTGTGGGTCCTACCTAGATTTCGTCATGAAAGTTGCGAACACCGGGTCAAAATCTGGGGTAATGGCCACCTTGTCCAGCAACGTCGGGCTTAAACACTCGGCCAGACGTTTCGCCCTGACATCTTTATCCAAAGGGCGGCAAAGCCAGTAGCAAAGAAACTTCCGCAATGTGGTCCAGAGGCGCCCATTCTGCAGAGCGGGTCGAAGAGCGGAAGACCTGAGGGGTGTAAGATCTCACCGGGGTCATCAGCATGGGCAGCAGGGGCTCTCTCTGCGAGTGGGCCAGAGGAGAGTCCAACAACATCTTCTGCACATACCGTGAACAATGGTCAGGAACACCTCTGCCGGGTGACGCAGCACCCGAGCTGCCAGCCCAGTATTCATCCAGAATGTCATAGCCTGGTGCTCTAGAGAATGCGTCCTCATCCGGGCTACCGCCTGATCCGGGGCACAGTCTGGGCAATTTGGCAGGCATTTTTCCTTCATCTGTGGGAGTGCAGTGGCCCTTCCAAGATCTCTTGCGCACTGAGCCCATATCCGCAGAGTGTAGGGAGCAAGAGTTCAGTGCGCCAGAGGGTCGGGGCGTGGGTCCCAGTGGAGCATCCCCTGGAGAGCAGCATGGGCCTTATGTAAGCAATCCACCAAGGTGGCACACAGCCAGGCCTGGAGGCCCTCAGGGGCATGGAAGCCAGGTTCGTCAGACATGACAGAGGTAAGGTACAGTCAGTGTGGTACCTAGATAAGGCCAGCTGGGGGTCACCCAGCGGGCATGAGGGGGTCACCCAACAAGCACTAGCATATCATGCAAATTAGGCCAGCAGGGGAAGGGGTCACCCTCAAAGTAAGAGTCACAGGACTCAGGAGGCCCACCAGGCTAGTCAGAGGGAGGGGGTCACCCAACCCAAAACAGTGAAACTTGCACAGCAGTATTGCCCAGTAGAGGGCAGTATAAGCAGAGTCAGTGCCCCAGTAATGCAGAGAGGGGGATCACCCCATGTAACAATAGGCCTTTGTAGGGTGCCTGTTAGCCCACCTAAGGAGTAGAATTGTATGACAGTTTAATAGGTGCAGGTAAAGGACAGCCCAATGTTCATCTAAGATCTGTGTAATGTGTCTGTACAGCTTACACTGTGTGGTGACGTTTCCTGCAAAAAAGGAAGTAATAACAATATAGGGGAAACAGAGGGAGAGGGAAGGCTGGCCACATGGCCAGCAGACAGCAGGGCAGCGGGGGTCACCACGGCTCCAACAAAATGGCCACCGCGGCAGCGAAAATTGAGCGTGGCCTTCCTGTTGGAGCCGAGGAGATGCGCAACAGTACCGTGAGCGAGAGGGATAGAGGGTGGAAGTGGCACAGCCCAGGAAGGAGCCGCGGGAGCGCACAGTGTGAGGGGAGAGCCCCATGGGAAGGCCCAGGAGGGGAAGGAATAGGGACAGGAAAACCCCAAACCCCAGACAGGAAGTAGAGCACACACCCCACAGTCAGCCCAGCAAAAACCCACAGACACTGAGATATCAAAACACAAGCATGTAAATACAATGATCAAAAAACAAACCAGAGCAGACACACTCTCTGAGTTGGATAATGCTCACCTGGAGGCAGCAGCAAAGAAAGAGGAAGTGGGAGGGTCTGCCTAAGTTGTTTTGATAGATCAATCCAAATGACTTAATGGTACTTTACCTTCCTCCATATAACTCAGTGATGTACTTTGATGTATGAGACCAGTCAAAACATTCTGTATGTGTATCCAACCATTTCTTCACTTCCTTAAAAGATTCATCATTGAATTTTAAAATAGTGATATCTTTGAAAATGTCAGACACAGTACACAGGTGGTGCATTAGAGGTCCCATAGTGGCTTCAATCAATGTGTCTCCTCTAATGCGTCCTAAAAGAAAAAAAAACATTTTGCTGAGACAGTTAATTTACTTGTGTCCTGTTATTAGTGATGTCGCGAACCCGAAATTTTCGGTTCGCGAACAGCGAACGCGAACTTCCGCAAATGTTCGCGAATCGGCGAACCGCCCGAAACGCCATTGACTTCAATGGGGAGGCGAATTTTAAAACACACAGGGACTCTTTCTGGCCACAATAGGGATGGAAAAGTTGTTTCAAGGGGACTAACACCTGGACTGTGGCATGCCGGAGGGGGATCCATGGCAAAACTCCCATGGAAAATTACACAGGTGATACAGAGTCTGGTTTTAATCCATAAAGGGCAGAAATCACCTAACATTCCTAAATCACAATCAATATGGATTGACACCTGACATATGACATATTGACACCTTGACATATGGATTGACACCTGTCCTCAGAGCCCCTGATGCACACGGACACAGAGCAGAATAGAGACTGGTCCCCTACATAGGGTCACTTGGCAAATATGGATTGACACCTGTCCTCAGAGACCATGATACACACTGACACAGAGCAGAATAGGGACTGTTCCCCCTACATCGGGTCACTTGGCAGATATGGATTGACACCTGTCCTAAGGTTCCCTGATACACACTGACACAGAGCAGAATAGGGACTGGTCCCCTACATCGGGTCACTTGGCAGATATGGATTGACACCTTGTTACAAACTGCTATTTGTAACGGGCCCTTTAAATGGCAAATTGCCCTGCTTCCCTGGGTTGTGGAGAAGCCTACTTGCCAGCCTCCTCCCGCATGACTATGGCCCCTGGGAGATTGTGAAAATGTATGCACTTTTATTTGGTAAAAGATAGAGATAGAGGAGTGCAAATACAAATGTATATGGTATACTTAGAGACACTGGTCAGTCCTTCAGATGTAACCTATATACAAAAAGATCCAAACATAGTATAATACTGTTTTTCCAAATAATATAGTAAATAAATGTGGATTTTTCACTCACACTTTGCAGAGCCACGTATAGTAGGCTCTGACTATAGTTGCTCTTTGATAATTCCCTGGTGTATTAAACTCCACCACGCCTTCAGAATTCTCCACTTGGATCAGGATACAGGAGATATAGAAATTCCAAAACAGAGTGGGGATACTTTTCAAAATTTAATAATATACAGGGACATATATAAAGTGCATAAAACAAAATAGCAGCACTAGATGTACAAAGACATCTATAAAGTGCATAAAAAGAATAACACTAACGCGTTTCGACTAAAATAAAGTCTTTTTCAAAGTGCATAAAGTAATGGTCGCCATATTGGGTATTTATATCCTCACTGGTGTTCTAATTTGGCGCCCAAACATCTCCGTCGTGGTGTCCTTCTCCTACTTCCTGGTTCCGGCGGGCGGCTTCCACGTTCCCGCCCTTTTTCACGTCACGTTGCGTCTGACGTCAGACGTTTTTCGCCGGACCGGAAGTGCTTCATATTAAGTTCATGAAGTTGTTGCAGCCATATTTGAACGTTCTTAAATCATATAGTCTAAATGAAGAGGTTCTGACAATACTCTTTCTTCAAATTTATATGTCTCTTATCCTAAAACTTATTTCATTATAATCATATTTGAATATCCAAAATATAGTTACATATATCAAAATCCAATTAATCACATATTATATAAAATACAAGAGGAGATAAAAAACGGAGAGAGAGAGAAATTTAGGGGGAAAGAGATATTATTAATCAAAAAAATATAAAAAACAATATAGTTAAAAAGTATATATTGTTAAAAAAGTGTATATATTAATAACCTTAAATTAAAATATTTAAATAAGTACACTCATCTCAAAATCCATATTGAGACCTTTGGGTGATAGTGTATCTAAATTAAAAATCCAACCCATTTCACATTTACTTAGGTTAGAATTAATGTCGCCCCCTCTCCAATGCTTAGTCACAGCTTGAATTCCATAAAACTTGATTCCACTTGGATCTTGATTATGATGTTCTAAAAAATGTAAAGAAACACTATGTGTTTTAAATCCTTTTTTAATGTTGTATATGTGTTCCCGCACCCTCGTGGCCACACACCTGGACGTCTTGCCCACATATTGCAGGCCACAAGGGCATTCTAACACATACACAACATTTTTAGTTTTACAGGAAATAAAGTTTTCTATCTTATGTTCTTTCAGGTTAACATTGGAGTGGAAGGACAGTATCTTCCTTTCTTTTATTTTAGATGTTCTACATCCCATACAGCTACCACAGAAATTAAATCCTTTTAATAAAGCTTTCTGACTATTTAAAAAATTATTGTCAGTTTTTTCAATAAAACTCGAAGTTAAAATCTGTTTAAGATTTTGTGCCCCCCTATATACAATTTTTGGTTTCTCCCCTATATAGGGTGCAATATCATCATCCTGTTTAAGTAAATGCCAATTTTTGTTGAGAATACGTTTTAGTTTAGAATGATTTTTATTAAAATTAAATATTAGTGGGATCGTATCTTCATGTTTGTTATCTTTCTTTTGTTGGTAATTTAACAATTCTTCTCTTTTTAATTTTCCAATTTCTTGAATTGTACTTTCAAGGTTTTCATTTTTATAGCCTTTTTCTAAAAATTGTCCTTTCAATGTAGAGGCCTGCAAGTTATATTTTTCTATTTCCGAGCAGTTCCTTCTCAGTCTAAGGAACTGACCTCTCGGAATATTGTCCAGCCAAGGTGGAAAGTGACAGCTCCCCTTTTCAATAAAGCTGTTCACATCCACCTGTTTAAAAAAAGTGCAGGTTTCAATTTTATCTTTTTTTATATAAATATTCAGGTCTAGAAAATCAATCGTTTGGTTATTTATTACATGAGTTAGTTTAATATTCCACTGATTGATATTAAGATAATTTAAAATATCTAAAACCAATGATTCATCACCTTTCCAAATAAAAAAAATATCATCAATGTATCTTCTATAGAGGACCAGGTTCGCAACCCAGTCATGCTGGGAAAAAACAAACTGTTCCTCCCAGAAGACCATAAAAAGATTAGCATAACTGGGGCGAACCTGGTCCCCATAGCCGTTCCTCTACATTGCAGATAAAAATCCCCCTCAAACCAAAAAAAATTGTTGTTTAAAATCAATTGAATAGACTCTAATATAAAATCAATTTGCTCCTCCGAATACATTTTTGAATTTTGGAGGAAGGATCTTGTTGCTTCACAGCCTTTATCATGTTGAATACACGTACAGAGGCTGGCCACATCACACGTGACAAGCAAGAAATCCTTTTCCCACTTAATATCTTTTAAAATCTGTAATAGACTCATAGAGTCTTTAAGAAAGGAGGGACATGTTTTAACTATCGGTTGTAAAAAGGTGTCAACATATTTGGATAGGGGTGATAATAATGATCCTATCCCTGAGACTATAGGTCTCCCGGGTGGATTCTGTATATCTTTATGTAACTTTGGCAAAACATATATAACGGGTATTCTTGGGCATTCTGTATTTAGAAATTTATATTCCTTTAGCGTTAAGATGCCCTTTTGTAGACCCCTATCTAAGATTTTTATATATTCTTTCCTTATTTCAATTGAAGGATCATTTTTAAGCTTTTTATATGTTTCTTTATCGTCTAATTGTCGTTTAATCTCCGCTATATATGACTCTTTATTTAAGAGCACCACCCCTCCCCCCTTATCGGCGGGTTTAATCACTATGTTTTTATCTTTTTTTAAATCAATCATTGCTTTTTTCTCTTTGATAGTCAAGTTGTTTTGATATTTATTATTTTGAACTTTTATTTCTTTTATATCCTTAATACATGCTTTCTCAAAAACCTTCATTTCTTTGGATTTTAAATAAATAGGATAAAATTTATTGTTTTGGAATTTCTATATCTCCTGTATCCTGATCCAAGTGTAGAATTCTGAAGGCGTGGTGGAGTTTAATACACCAGGGAATTATCAAAGAGCAACTATAGTCAGAGCCTACTATACGTGGCTCTGCAAAGTGTGAGTGAAAAATCCACATTTATTTACTATATTATTTGGAAAAACAGTATTATACTATGTTTGGATCTTTTTGTATATAGGTTACATCTGAAGGACTGACCAGTGTCTCTAAGTATACCATATACATTTGTATTTGCACTCCTCTATCTCTATCTTTTACTTGTATGTTATCTGTGTTTTTTAAGTGGTTTTAAAACACTGTGGAGTTGCACTGTTACTTTTTACTACCACCCCTACACTTTGTGTGTTCTGCACGCTATTGTGTAAAATTTGTTTTATATTGTAT